TGATTAATTAGCTTTCAAAAACTTAGAAGGTATTACCATGACCTCACTTGTACTTCTTGAACCAAATCTTTATTCTTAGCATCTTTCAAAGAGTCAACTATTTCATGCAATAGTTTAAGCAATAAATTGCTCCAATAAGTCTACTCTCAACATAGTTAACAATAAATCTTTGATATTATCTTTCAATCCGTATCAAAATTAATTGATAAGAGTTTTATCATTCCAATCTACATTACAAGCAAGATTTTGGAATTCTACAGTATATATGGTGGTTGAATATAATTATTGTTGTAAAGATACAAGTTTGGTCTGTATTATTCTTTTTTAATCACTTTTTTTAAATGTGGTTGTAAATATTTTTAAGAATAAATTAAAATCATAGAGTACTTATAAATTATTTTCCATCCAATATATAAATCAAGTAAAAACATCCTTAGATAGAAATGCACTCATGAATTTGATTTTAATAAATCTATTAGAATATTGGAAAAGATATAATCTTAGATAGAGCTTCATTTACTATAGAAACTTTTGAAACTTTGATCTTGCTCCATCAAAATTCTCTAAGATACATATCCTTGTCTCTTTCATACTTATAATAGCAAGATTTTTTGGATTTAATTGTGAACTTAATTTACTTATTTTTATCAATTGCATAATTTTTTGGCAAACTTTGAACTTTATTGTTGACTTTTTTCACAGGCATAGAAATACTAGTTCCATGATTGAAGTTAAAAATACGTGAAAGTTCGACTTTAAGAGTGTTGACAAGCTTATACAAATTTATAATAGTCAGAAATCTATTCTCACTTTTACAAAAAGTAGCATCTAAATTTTTTTCTTCTATATACAATTTAAACAAATTCAAAATTCAAATTAGATAAGAATAATCCACAACCTCTAATATCAAATGAAAATTTCTACAAAGGGAGATAATTCTCTCTTTGAAGAAAAAATCAATGTTAGAAAATTAAATATTAGTTCAAAAGTGGATAGTCTGCAACCTTCAAAATACAACAATAAGAGTGAGATAATCCACTTACTTCTAAAATAAAACAAGAACAATAAGTTAGTACTCTTATCATATTATCAAGGATATAAAATTTAAATAAATAAAAACTCAATACATTCTTAAGTCACTTAAAAAGAATAGATATTCATTCAAAACTAATATAGTATTGAAATTAGAATGCTTATTGCTAAAGAAAGAAAGACTAGAAAATCTTGAAACAAGATTAAGGACTAAAAAGGCATTCATAAGAATAAAGAAGGCTTTATTCTTTCTTCTATATATATTATCTCACTAAGAGCTACATAACAACGTTTTATAGGACCTTTGACATGTGTCCAATTCGCAAGACATATGTCTTAACTTAAAAAATAAATTTTTTATATGTAAGCCACATAGTGAGCTTGTATCACAAGCTATCAATACGTGCAACATGTGGCTAATTTATTGGCTAAGTTTCTAACCTATTAATCAAGTATATACATGTATAAAGTCAAAGTTGCATTTATGAAGCTTCTATGAAGTTTGTCTACAAGATATTATCAAATTTATTCACTTTAATCTATTTCTATCTATTCATATTATCTAAATAATTGTTGGAGTAAATATGTATGTTCATGACAAAGATACAAGTGTATAAGTTTCTTTGGCTTAACTCTTAAACTTTTTTTTTTATAATGTTTGAATTTGATTCTTATGGTAGGATCTTAAATTTCTATTAATTCATATATATTTACAACTTCATTAAGCCACAATCTAATATTTAAAGAATCTTCATTGTATCAAAAATCTTTATAAAGATCCAATAATACCAACCATTATAGAAGTAGCAATATCCACATATCAAATTCTATCCTATTATAGTTTTTTATAGAACTTCTTTCACATTTATTTTTTTAGCTCTTCAAATCATTAATTTTACTATAATAAAATCTTATCGAAATCTACAAAATAAATTGGCTTATACAAATTGGTGACATATCTTTATTCAAAGTGGTGTTTAAACTTTTTATTCAATATATTAATATTGAAGAAAATAAATGGTTTGTCTTACTTCAACTTATTAAAAAATAATAATTTTGAATCAAATTCTAAATTTGAATTCTTTACTTTAATAAAAAAATCTCTTTAAAGCAAAAAAATCATAATTCAATTAATAATAAAAATTATGTGACAAAAGTTTTGAAAATTATTAGAGTGGTTGCAAAAGCAAAGCCAAAAAAATATAAGCATCTAGTATAGATTTCTTCTACAATTTACTTAACAAATTAATCTTTGATAAAAAAAATTATTCTTATATTATTGATGAAGAATTCATAACACACTTTTTAAAACTTAGTAGAAAGTTAATTCAAAATAATATTTCTTCTATTAACCTTAAAGTATATAAATAGAGTTTATTATTGGATGAAGACTTCTTATTTAATTGAATTGACATCTAATCCAACCTTTATTCTCACAAAGAAGCCATATTCATATAGCTTATATGACACAAAAGTATAGCAATTTATACTTAGAGAAAAAGAATTAAAAAAAATAAAAAAAATAACTCTCATCTTGATATTTTTTGTATTTTGTATCATCCCTAAAAGCTATAATCTATTCTCTATAGATTCTTAGATTGGTATCAAGCATGTAACATTTAGAATTAGAACACCTTCCTTTTAAACAAATTAACTTTAAATTCTTTAAATTGGAGACCTTAAAAAACCTTTATTTTGAAACAAGCTATTTTTGTAAAAGCTTTATCATCTCAATTTAAATATTTTTGTAAGATTTAGTCCTTGTTAAGAAAACTTTGTTTATAGATTACATAGATTTAGAAAAAAAAATATGAGTTTAAAAATAAAATATAAAATAAATTCTATATTAGTAGCATGCTCTAAAAAGATCTGTTAGAATATGGTCAAATCAGTTAGAAATTGACTAAAAAGATATTGACAAAATACTTAGACCACAAAACTTTCTTCTAACGAGATGGAATAAATTATGGATGTCTAAATACATATTTGGTTTTAAAATTGAAAAATTAATTAAATAGAACTTTAGAATATCTTAGTGTTATCATAAATAAAAGTATAAATATACTAATTCTAATAGGAGTTCTTTCTTCTCATTACTCTTCTCTTTGCTTTTTTAGATATAAGGAATTTAATAGTTTGGTGTACTTTTATCATTTCATCATTACATTGGATATATCCCATTTTTGTATTTTAACACATATATATTTATTTATTTATTTATTTATTTAACTTTTATCTTTTATTTCTTTTGACTCTTCAAATAAGATGCAAAGAATTCTTTAAAGAGGTAAAGTTAGGAAAAAACCTCATAATTGGTGACATCTTCACTCTTGTAAGATTGTTATAATTATGTGCAAATACCTGAATTTTTTAATTAGCAAAAAATACGATACAAATAAAAGTTGTCTTTAATTTGTTGTTTGTAAAGCATAAGTGATGTTAGAATTACTGATCAGAGCTTTGAAGCACAATATGTGCTAAATAGGTGGATAGTCACACCATCAAATGCACTCAAGTTGCAGAATGAGGTAGTATTATTTTGGAACCCTGCAGACAAATATAATATTATATCCATCAATTAAAAATTAAGTAATAGTCAAACATTAATTTTGACCCTGCATAGTGCATATAAGATTGGTGATGCAGAGGTTTTATAAAAATCTGGTGGTAATAATAATAACTATAACATATGCAGTGTTTATTTTTATTGTTGAATTTCAGAATTTAAAACTAACATTTAACAAGAAATTATGACATTTATTATATATGTATTACATATAATTTTGAAATATTAAGAATCTTGACATATTGTATTATTGTAAAAACAGCACATATATAATCCAAATGATTAAATGATCTCAATCAAAGTTACAAGTAGATTAGAAAAGGTAATTTAAAAAGTAAGGTTTTAGCATAATCTTTTAAAATGGGGTTTTTTAATTTCCCGAATTTCTTTATATAATGATTATTAATGGTATTTAAAATTCTGTTTATTAAAGAACTGCATTTAAATTGTAAACCAAAGATTTTAAAATTTTCTACAATAATATGTATGCAAACATTCAAGATTTCAGGGTGTTTTCTCTTTAACTTGAAACACTTATTGATACAAATTTATTTTGAAACTATTGCAAGATTCAAATATTTAAAAGAAAGCATGCTTGTTTTCAATAGTCCTTGAACAAGAAATCCAATTAGGCCTGCATGTATTTCACCATTTGTCTCTTGAAGAACAGCAACCTGAGCATTTTAATCAAACTCAATTCAATCAAGCTGGATTACAATGTTGACAAGTTAGTGAAAAAACATTTCATTACATCCTTTAAAATACATACCAAATTCAATCCCAATACATCTTCTGAGATACTGTACTTGAATGATGCCAGTTGCATGATATACACAAACAGATGGTGGAGGGGTTCATGTGCATCTGTGCTCATGTTCAATCTTTTCACACTAATGCTTGACATCCTACATTTAAAATGTGTATATGAATCTGTAAAGAAGAGAATCCCAAATGCTATATGGAAATCACAGAATGACAAGAATCAAACATCACAGCCAACTGGTCGATAACAATGAGTAAATCATCAATGTAGTGGAAGAAGGTTCTTTAAGGATGTAACAGGACCCTTAAGAAAGCTTGTCAAAGGTTCTGCCTAGTATGTCACCCAAAATGGCACACAGGAATCTTTAACTTGTTACCCACTATGTTAATTCTCCAAATCTATTACTCCGACACCAACTTTTTCTGTAATTTATTTAATTTGAAATGTAGGGATAAAACACAATAAACCTGCTCTAACGTGTCCGATAAACCTACTCCACATCGTGTGCAAGAAATTCCGGTCAGAATAAAGTACAAAAGGTACAGTGGAAATGCTAAGGGAACTATAACTAGTGGGTGATGCGACATGGAGAACGCACGCGCATGTACGTTACAAAAAAGCGCAACATTATCAAAGTTGTGTCAGAACGAAAATACAACATTTAACTGTTTAAAAGAAAAAATACAAAAGAAACTGACGAATTGCAATTCCTTCTCACCGCAGGCATTTTGATAGTTTGAATCGTCAAATGATACGCAAGGAGTCAGTATTTCAATTAAGAGACAGATTCCAGCCAGTATATCATTGAACCTAATATCATGAAGGCAAATATACACGAATACCACTTGACTGAGTATTCTACATATATAACCCCTCGGGTACACCTTCCTTCTTCTTGTACATCACTTTGTCCTTAGCCTTCTTGAAGTCCGCTTGAGTCACCTGTGGCATTAAGAATCCACAGTCAATACTTAGTCACAGAATCAAAACAAGCCAATTCAAAGCCTGCAATTATACAGCCATGAGGGCAACTAAAAAAGTGTAACCTCTGACGAGACGCATTAAAAATACATATAAAAGAATACAAAGAAATGGCAAGCTCACCTTCATACGGCGCTCCCTTAATGCAAGAAGACCAGCTTCCGTGCAGATAGCTTTAATGTCAGCACCAGAGAATTCATCCTTGGTCATCACGAATTCCTCCAAGTTGACATCATCAGCCATTGTCATTCTAGAAGTATGTATCTGCACAGATCAAGATCATAACAAAACAGTCTTAACAAAACCTACTGGGAAAGGTGTCAATAAGGTTCATCATGAATGTATACCTCAAGCAATTACGCTTCGACCACAAATCATAGGTTATCGAAATATCACCTGAAAAATTCTTCTCTTGGTTTTAATATCAGGCAATGGAAACTCGATCTTGCGATCGATTCTACCAGGCCGAAGCAGGGCCGGATCTAAGCTTTCAATTCGATTAGTAGCCAATATAACCTTAACATCACCACGAGCATCAAAACCATCCAACTGATTCAGCAACTCCAACATAGTCCTTTGAATTTCTCGCTCTCCACCGGAATGGGCATCATATCTGCAGTAAAGCACCAACTCCGCTTTCAATTTCAAATATTTGATCATGACAAAACAGTCTTAAATATTTGAAATATGTACATATTAAGTCGGCTTTCAACTTAGATAAGAGTGCAGTGGCAACCTTGAGAGTGTGGTTGCAAGAATCGAAACATTATGAGAAACACCGCAAATAAAAATAATGAGAAGCAGGCCAGAATTACCTTTTTGTACCGACAGCATCAATTTCATCGATAAAAACAATGGTAGGAGACAGTTCATCAGCCACCCGAAATAGCTCTCGCACCAACTTCGGTCCATCTCCTAGATACTTCTGTATCAGCTCACTTCCTACAACACGAAGAAATGTGGCAGACGTGGAATTTGCAACAGCCTGCATTGCAAGTTTAATCAAATACTTGGTTATTTGATCAGTTTACATGAGTAGAAGACATTACAGATTATCAAACAACAACAGATCCTAAGATCAATTATTGAACACTTCAAGACCAACAAAGGTCACCTTGTTAGCAAAGCAGAACTTCTCTGTACAGAGACAAGGTAGCAAGTCAAGAATTACATGATCTCACCCTTTGCCAAACGTATTTACCTTAGCAAGAAGAGTTTTCCCAGTGCCGGGTTCACCATACAAAATAACTCCCTTGGGGGGCTTGATACCAATGTCTTCATACAGCTCCGGATGTGTCAACGGCAACTCAACTGCTTCTTTAATCTCCTGAATCTGAGGATCTAATCCACCTATATCAGCATAAGACTCTAGTGGAGCCTTCTCTACCTTCATTACAGATACCATAGGGTCCACATCATCTTGCAGTAACCCCACCACTGATAAGACCTGCACAGAAGTTCAACACTCGTTTCAACAAGCTGCTCCAAAAGCAATTATGGTTTATGATACAGCCAGGTTTCCAAGTCAGCTTAATCAAGCATAGTTCGTGTGGCTCGTCAAATATTGGCTACAAGCAACAGCGGAACATTCTTAACATTTTATCACGATCCAGAAACGAAACCCGATGCTGCAAACATGAGTTCCCCCTCAATTCTTTAAAATTCAAGTTTGTGACCAGATGCTGGTTCCTAAGGAGCACGACAGTCATCTAAAAAATGTCCTTCTCTAAACAACCACTCAATAAATCCACTTGATTAACACATATGTGAACCAAAACCCTAATTTGACCTATTAAACAATTCTAAATAGACCCTAAAAATACCGATCGACGATTGCCCAACAATTTGAAAATTGAGATAACAACTTACAGATTTCCTGTGCCGAGACAATAGACACTCAAAGAAACGCAATTTGGCCACCTCCCAACTAATGAATCACTGAGAACCCTACACACTGTTTCACTTTCACATCCAAGGACATTCTAGCAAGTGTGATAGAACATAGTTTAGGGTTTGGCAATGAAGAAATTGAAGAGCAAATAAGCTGAAAACTTCTTAGATTTGGGAAGGCATACCTTATTGTGCATGAGGATTGCGCAACCGGGCTCGAGCTGATCCTTGTCCACGAACGACAAAATGTTCACATAATACTCGGGCCCCACGGAAGACGAAACGATTGCGTGATTTTCGTCAATAATTTCCTCCAAGTTGCCCACGCTCATAGGAGACCCCCGAAGATCATCCACCTTGGACCGATCCTCCTCGTTCTTGTCCTCCTGGGGCTTCAGCCGCTCCTGATTCGTCACAAACTCTTCCTCCATCAACAAGTAATCCTTCACACGATCCAGCTTCAGCAACCGTAGCTTACACTTCGTAGCAGGCGTCACAACGGGCAACCGCGCGGCAGCCTCAGAGCCTTTCTGCTTGCGCTGCTTGCGTCCCACGCGCGTCGGTGGCGCCGGAGGATCATATTTCTTCTCCTTCTTCTCGCCATTTCCTTTGTTGCGGTCTCCACCAGGCCCTTGCTTGGGCAACCCTCCCGACTGCCCCTGTCCCATCTCGCTCCCTCACTCAATGCTCTTCACTGTCGAAACCCTAACGCCACTAGCACCGCCACCAACCACGCATGAATTCAACGATTCCCAATCAAACCAAGCAACAAGCCATCAGAAGCCCTAGCGGCACTTTCACACCTCGAGAAAAGCTCAAAAGAGATGGAAATAAAAAAACACAACAAAGCTGATCACAGAAGAAAGCCACGTGACAAGCAAGTAGCGTGAACAGCTTCAGCTGAAGCTTCTCTAAGAGAGGGATAATTTGAAGAATGGGAGGTGGCTATGGCGGAGGCATGGCCAAGGAAGAGAAGAGAAAACGAAGCTTACAAAAAGAGTTTCGAAGCTTGACAGGGCTTTCTCATGGATGATAGACGGATGTATAAGTTTATTCATTCATCCAATACCCACGACGAACCAGCTTAGTTGCGTTCTCGACGAAAAAGCAGCATCTCGTCGGAAGTTCCGTCTTTCTTCAAAAAATGGAAGATGGAACGTGTTTTCAAAGCCTTCAATAACTATTAAATATTTATTTTAACATAAAATATGAGATAATAATATATATGTATATATATATATATTTACTTGTTATTATTATATCAGTAAAACAGTCTTGAATCTTCTAATAATCAACTAAAGATTGAAAAAAAAATACATATATTGGAATTTTGATTACATAAGTAATACTTTTTAATTATTTTATTTTTATTTAAATATTTTTTATAAATTTAATATTAAATAATATAATTATAATTTATTTAAATTATTCTAATATTTTATCTTTAATATATAACTAGTTTTGGGGCCCATGCTTTGTATTGTATAAAAAACAAATGTAAAGATTTTATTGTCTTATAGTTACAATAGATGACAATAGATGTCAATTTTAAAAATATTGCTATAAATATATATATATATATATATATAAAGAATTAATTTTTTAAATTAGTGATGTTCTATTTTTAGATTCAATGGAGGACAATGAAACCCATAATTGACCATAATCAAATATGAATTTTGGCAAATAAAGTCCTAAGTCAAGGATTGTTTGGCCTAAAGATTTATTGATTGTCATGGAAAAACAAAGCTTGATTGAGAATTATTTCTGCCTTAATTTTTAAAAAACATTTTCATTGATAGGTTTCAAGTTTATTTGGAAAATAAAGACCTTTTTGTCTTCTTCAATACAAGTTACAACTTTAACAATGATGACACGTGAAATAAAAGGTATTCCAATAAGTCATGTTCTATTGCATATTCTTCTTGCCATATTTTTTAATACAATTATTGGAGCTCCAACCTTCACCTTTAATACATGAAACATCAATCTATTTATAGAAAAATATTTATAAAGTCAATTATATAGATTACATGATTATCATTGTCATTATAGAAAATTGAGTATGTAATAAGAAATTCTACCTCTTCACTAAGAATTTTTTGCAAGATTTTTTACCAAATAGTTGATCAATATTAGTTATATTACAAAGCAACTTATCTTCAACTTCAAAGATCGCTTTATTGATTATTTGAGCTTTATGCCATATAAATATCTTAGCAAGCTTAAGCAATTTTTTTAATTCTAATTCTTTTGTGATACTAAAATTTGATGGGATCAAATTTTGGCTAACATAAGTGAAGGTGTTTATACATTTTGTATTCAAAGAGAAATTAATCATTACACAAGAAGTTTGTTGCTTACTAGAAGTAAACTTCTTCAATTTAGTCAAATATATTTTCATGACATTACTTTCAAGGCTCAATTTAATTCCCGCCAAGAAATATTTTTCTATTTAAATTAGATTCTTTTACAAGACATTTGGAAAGAATTTTTTTGCATCATTTCTTTTGTACAAATAGTTCATGCATGTAAGTGTTTAATTCCATGGTGACTATTCCTTACCCATTTGGATTAAAAAGAACTAAAAAAAATACATGCACCATTGAAGTATAGTTTGAAGCATTAACACTTATTAGTTTTTCTACCTCTTTGACTGTTATATATACTTCTAAGATAATTTGCAATAATATTTTTAATTAAGTTCTTCTATAATATAATCTTCTATTTTCTATTATCTAATAATTATCTTACCACAAAATAACATTAAATATCTTTTTGCTAAAAGATAGAATTCTTTGATAAAATATTTTATATTTTTATATTATTAAATCCTTAAAATATAGTCTACTATATATTCATCTCTTTATTGTCTTTCATCATAATTAAAAAAAAAATCAAATTTATTTGACTAAAATTTTGTTATTTTAGGTGAAATTCCAAACATTGAGACTCAATTCCAACTTTATGCTATTTTCACAAATTGTATGGTTTATTTGCCATGTAAACATCTCAAACTAAATATTCCATGTATGATAGATGGTGTTTGTCAAAAATAATACCTAAATAAATTTTAAGATGAGACTTGCAAGATAGCAATGAATACTCTTTTTTTGTAGCAGAAACAATTACAAAATTATAGACAAAGTTCTAGACAACTAATAAATAGTTTCTTACAAGCCATCTCTTTGGCATATTTTTGGTTGTAGCATTAATACTGAAATGTATTCTACAACAACTATCATAAAATAAGTTTACAAATATATCTACAAGGAATATGACTATACAATTGACTAATTGCTAATCTCATTGTAAGAAGAAGATAATGTAGAAGCTTTGAATTAAATTAAGCAATATTTGGATGCTTGATATATTTTATTACTAAAAGCATGTTGGAAAATATTCAATTTTAAACTTTGATACAAATATTAAAATATTTAATGATTGCAAGTCTACCTCCTAAATCTATGCACTATATACTATAAACTTGATGGATATCTAAATAATGTGCTTATTGGACAAACACAAACAATATGAATAGAATTTTATATATCATATGCAAACAATGATTTTTAACAATTTTGTAAAGTTTGAAAGCAATTGGACAATAAATATAAGAAATATTGGAACTAAAAGATTGGCATTAAGATAAAAAAATTTGACAAACTAATATCCAAGCAGATTGAGATGTTTATCTTTTGATTAGTAAGTTTGATCTTTTTCAAAATTTTATGCTTTTTTTAATTAAATGATTGAAAGATGTGCAAATTTTGAGTCTAATCCATCAATTAAATTATTAGTTATTGAGGTTTTAATTTGCTTTAGGATTTAAAATTTGATTTCGGCTTATGATTTAGGATTTGATTAAATTTGGTTTGGATTGGATTAGCGTTATAATTTAAAATTTAGAATTTTTGTAGGATTTGACTAGAATTTGATTTAGATTTACTTAAACTATGTTAAAGATTGTTTGAAGATTATTTTAAAAGTAGTTAAAAGATAATAAAATTTAAAGAGGATTTTTTATAATTTAATAAGATACATTTAAGATAATTATAAGCTTACTTGGATTGTTCAAAAATACCAAAGGAGATTTCTAAATGCTTGGTCTATTGTTTTGGGTTGTAATTCAAATTCTAAAATAAGTTTAAATCCTTCTACAACCGTACGCTCAATATATTTTTAGGTCAATTTTCACATAACACAACAATATTATCAACAATTCTTTGAATGCCTTAGTAATCAAATCAAGATTATATTATGTTATTTGTTCTTCTAGTAATTTTTCTACAAGCTTTGTTAAATTTAGATTGGAGGTAAATATATAAAAAAAGGTTTGGCTTGCCATAGAATTTATTATATTCATTGCATCTTAACATCATTGGTGCATATATCTATCATTTCTTGCAGAAGAAGAAGATCAAACAATACGCTTTTCTCAACTTGCCAAATAACCATCAATTTATAAGTGGTCAATCATCCTTTATACAAATCAATATAAATTGTACATTGGTTAAATTGGAATCAACAAAAATGCATTTAATTAATTTTTAAATATTGATTGATAATATATTGCTAAAAAGTCTTCTGCAATAGTAAATAAAACCATCTTTAGATTGATGAAAGTGTAAGTAATACAAAGCATAATCTATTGCACTCACTCAAGTCTTTTTTTTGGAGCTATTATGCTTAGATTCTTTCTGCTCTATTGTATAGTTATTATTGTTGGGCTCTATTATTTCTACTCTTTCTTGGGATATATTTAAATTCCAACTGTGTCCGTCATAGAAAAATATAATAGAAAGAATAAAAAATTTATATGCACCATGCACTTCATCAATCATAATTAGAGGGCTTTTAACAGTACGAAGAATGATATTACTTCTAATAGAAGTAACATCTCCATCAACAATTATTGCAGCAACTTTATCAGCACTAAGAGCAATGGTGCATGTCCTTTTTTGTGGTTTTTTTAAAATCCAAATGGCTAAAAAAAATACATTTGAATAAATTAAAGCAGTTTATATTTAGTAAGCAACAAACTTCTTATGCAATGATAAATTGCACTTTGAGTACAAAATGTATAAACACCTTCACTTATATTAGTAAAAAATTGATCTCATTTTGCTTTTAATAATGCAAAGATAAAATTGCTATTGTAGAAGTATATATTATTAATATGTGATTCATCACTATTGAGTAATCTTTGAAAATACATTGTTAAAGGTAATAATAGAGTCAATTTTACTTTGTTTTATTGAAAAGTTAAATTAAAATTTTCATAAGGTCATTTCTTGGCTTTACATTCCAAGCACAACTTATCCATTTTAAAAAAGGAAAAAAAATTATTTACTATATCTAAAAAGTCCCTAACAATTTAATTAAATTAATTAATTAATTAATTTTTATCAACAATGATTTTACATGTCTTACTAAGTAGGCAATGTTGTTGAATTTCTTCATTTCTCAAAAAAGTGAGCATTTGTTGAAGTCTTTGGTAAGCTTCATGGTTATTTAGTTGCTTAAGTTCTTTATGAGATCTGTTTATACACACCAATTGTTAAGCTTCATGGTCATGCAAACGTTTATTCTCTTATTCTTTATTGTTTTGGTAATACCAACACATTGTAGCACATTTCTGACTTTTTCTTTCTTTTTGTTTTTCAATTTTTTTTTATCCTTTTAGTGTCCAATAATGCACATTGCAATGTATTCAGGTGTTGGTGGACAAACCATTGCTGAATGCATGAATGGAAGAGTATGGATTCTATTGTCTTGGACTTTAAACAATTCTTGTGGATCAAGCAGTAGAGAGTAGATGAGCTGAATAAGAATCTACAATTGATAAACTTACACATCATTCAACCTTATAAATAAATTTGTAAGTTACCAAATTCCAACCAATGATAACAAGTCATTATATATAGAGTCTAAAAGATATAATACATCATTTTCAAAGGTCCTATATAACAAAATTTTAATTTTA